AGGGCCTTAAAAAATTTTTCTCGTGGTAGTAATTTTGTGTTAATGCTAGCAAACCTTTTCTTTCTTATGATACCACACACTCAGAAATAAAACTCCTACTATTGATGATTCAGAACACAAACTCACAACCCATCGTAGTGCATTGTGGGAGATTGTTAACTAGAATGTCGAAACTAGGATGAAAACTAGACGATCAAAAATAAAGTGACTAAATAAGCTGGCCGACTTGTATGATGGTTAAGGTGTTGATTTCGCACCAGAAGGATCCCGGGTTCAAATCTTGCTTCGCACATGCCATGGGTGTAAATTGTCTCCCTGTTCTTTCTTGAGCTGTCAGGGAGACATAGATCCACCTATATGGGGCCCCAGAATTAAATGGATATTACTAGGCACTCCGAGTTTTGTTTTCAGAATAAAAATTGAATGACGAAAGATTTCTTTAATTTTGACGAAATTCGTTTCCTCGACGAAGTGACAATAGTCAGTTCGTCACTTTGATTAATTTTTTTTTTTTTTTTTGATGGAGCATATGCCACGAAGTGGTTTCATCATAAGCGAAGAAACGTGATATTTGAATATCCATTTTCTACAGTGCACTTTAAAATCGGTTAATTTTCTTACAGATATATTTCTTTGCAATATGTAGCTGTTTCTACGAATACGTAAAAGTAGAGATGTTTGATTTACTTTTATCATCACTTTTGAAAAAGCCCTAGAGACCTGTAAGATAGAAAAGAAGCCAGTTTTAATTTTTTCCCAGTCCCTCGTTAAGTTTTGTATATATTCGGTAAGTCATACACCGCTAAGCCGATTGAAGAAAGATATGAAGTTGCCGCAGGACAAACGCTTTAGGCCGGTAAAATGTAACGATGGTCGTACGTCAATATCTCGCCGTCAAAACACAGGAATGAGGGCCGATGATTTATGTTCAAAATCCTAAATGCCTCTGCACGCAAGAATGGAAGAAATAGCTTCAGAAAACTGATACTTGGTTAGAGAAAAGTTATCGAAATCTTTGAAAATCAATATCGGAAAATTGTTACTCAGAAACTTTCCATCCCATTTACAAAATGATTAATTATAGTTTTGATTTCGACAAATTTCTAAGCTGGAATTTTTTTTCTTCTTATCTTTCTTATCGATAATTCAATAGAAAGACTGAAGAGATATTGACGAAATTTATTGTTATATAATGAACTTTGTGAACAGTTGGTTATTAATTTTTTGGAGAAAATTTAGTTCATCATAAATTATTTTCTTGACGAGAATATAGTAATAATTTTTATTGAATTTTTCTGTTCAACAAGGTTAATAAGATTGTTATTGCATCATATTGTTGATATAACTTGAAAATATTGTTTTAGTTTGTCTCGAACTATAAATGAAATTTATAAAAAGCCACTCATTCCAAGATTCAATAGATTGAAGTTCTTAATGGTTTGTCTCTTAATAATTTTTGGACTAAGAAAATTATAATCTTAATTCGAAATAGTTAATGTTGCGAAAACGATTCTATGCATATGAATGTAAACAACTTATATATAAATGGCGTAACCAAAATTTTGCGTGATTTAAAATCAATATCCTTATATATTCATAAGTTCATTCATATTTTTTCGAAATTTTCCTTAACGAGGGCTCAGTTTTTATTAATAATTTTCATTAAATATTTAGAGAAAAATAAATTAGGTTCTAAGGGGAATATCCGTTAAAGAAACGTCCATTAAAATATCCATTAGAAAGTTGAGAGATTTAAAAGAAAAACGTTATATAAACAGCACATTATCAGTTAATAACCCATTTTTATGTAATTTGGACCCCAAAAAAGAAGAGCGGGAAGAAGAAAAAAAAGTAAAAAATTGAGTAATTAAAACAAAATTTTCCTTCTGAATTGATTAAAATATTAATAAATTCGGTAAAAATCAACTTTCTAAATTAATGTAAAAACCACTTTTTATTTAACTGTTATTTTTAATCTTTATTTCTTCTGTTTTTAATATTCCTCTTGAGACAATTTTAATTGCTTTTGGTTATTAATTTTAAAATTGTTCTTTATGACATTACGTTAAAAATAATAAAATTCAAAGAAAAATAATATCAAATATAATAAAATTCAATGAAAAATAAAGTCAAATATAATAAAAGATTTCAACTAAAAACTCTTAAAAATGTTTTTAATTAAAAAAAGAAAAAAAAACAGTATAATATTTTATTATTATTCTTTATTATATTGTGATAACAATAATAAAATAAAATAAAGAAGGAAAATAAAATACAAAATATTTCCCGCAAAAATTGTTAAAATTGTCGTGTACAAAAAAAGCAATATGTTATACGAAAATTGCAAACAACTGAGATAAAATGCGCTTTAAAATTAATTGTTATACTTTTTTTAAAGGAAAAAAAATTGCTCAGTAAAAGGGAATTGTCACGGTAAAATCTGAAATATATTTTCCAATGAATTTATTAACATTTCAGAAATTTATTTGTAAATTCTCAAGTTGTAATAAGGCACTTTTGTTTTTATTGATGAAGAGCTAGTTTGAATCAATAAACAAGCTACAGTAAAAAATGGAGCAGTTAAGCTTGAAAAATTTTTTCAATTATTTATTATACTATTCATATTAAAATAAATTTACATCTTTTCATATTTTCACTAAAAGCTTTTTAAAAGAAAACATTATTTTGAAAAAATGAAAATCCTTAAAATTGAAATAATATCAAAATTTTGGTGTTTATCTGATATTAAAAACAGGGTTTCTGTTTCAAAAACTTTGTCACGAAAAGGATAAATAAAATATTTTTCTCTGTAAATAATTCGCAATTGTCATGTTTCTGTTTTGCTCATTCACTTTGTGTCCAAAGGCTTAAATAGGATAATTAAAATAATAATAAAACTATATTTTTATCTCAAACATAACAAAAAAAGAAGAGTAAATAAAAAAATAAAGTTAATGTTTTTTCCCTGAATTCAGAAACAATATAGGAAAAAAATGAGTTACGAAATTCAAACAATTGTATCAGAATAAATATATTTTATGCAATGATGGATAAAAGGATAATTCAAATTTGTTTGCATATAATTCGTATGTTGATTACCACAATATAGAATATTTCCTAAATTCAAGCAGAAATAAATAGTTTGCTTTATTCTATTTATAGATAAACGGCAAATTGCACTCAAACATTTATAAAATTTCACAAAATGCAAATGAATCAAAGCAGGCGATTACACTTTGTAAATCATCATTATATCCTAAACTCTAATGCGTGGTGGTCCAATTTTTATTCATCTTTCTGAATGCAAATTAAGTAAAACTAGTGAATGTCAATCAAATGTACTTGTTTATTAGGAAGATGAAAACAATTTGAATCGTGTGTTCTTTAAGTTCTAACCCCTTATTATGTATAATCAGTCTTACAAATATATCTTAAAAAAAGCTGACATTTTATGTTTGGTTTCTTTTCCCTCATTTAAATTCATCTGCAAATAATTTGAGTTCGCGTTGTATTTTTTTCCTTTTGAAAAACAAAACTCAACGTAATTTGCGCATTATCTTCATTCGAGCATTCTTATTAGGAGTTTGTTTTAAAATTTGTTATCCCCATCAATTTTAACTCAATTAAGAAGTAGAAACTATTCTATTTCGATTCATTGTTTGTTTTTAATCAAAAACTGTTTACTTCTTGTATTTATTCTTTTGTAATAGAAAATAATTTATGTGATAAAGGCAAATAATACTGAGAACTGGGGAATAAAAGTCGCAGCTCATTGCTGACGAAATAATAAATATAAATAAATATAATTCCATCAAAATGCATAGAAAATCAATAGAAATAAATAAATAAAACAAAATATGCAAAATTTATTTAAAATAATTTGGAATTAAAAAATAATTAAGTAAAAATATGGAGGAAACATATTAACTTCAATACAGTGTATTTTTTTACCGATGTAATTGAGTACTTGATTTTTAAATTTGAATTAAGCTTTAATTAAAATATGATAATAATGATAAATGTGATTAAAAAGATTAAAAGATAAGATAAAAGAAAACAAAAGAAGACATTTTCATAAAAGCAAATGAGATAAAAAAATAAACTATGACCAATATTGCAATTTTTTTTTCTTTTTACCATTTGAATCCTTGTAACATTATGAATGGAAACAACTATAAAACAACTATAAACTATAGATTATCGTTTTCACGTTGTTTTTTTAATTAAATAAAATACCCCCCGCCCTAAAAAAAGTTTACAGTTCCCCGAAATAGAAGCAAAANAAAAAAAAAAAAGTACGAAGTTTCACAAACATTTTTGAAATTTGCATTTAAATTTTACCCGTTTCTCTATTATTTAAATGAAGTTACTTAAAAAGTTATTTTCATCAGTTTAAAAAAATAAATAAAAATATTTTGCTGAAAAATTCAAGCCAAAAAGAAATTATTTTAGTAAATAAGAAATCTTACACTGTAAAAATTTCCGGAGTAAACTACGATAAGTATCGATACTCAGGGTGCTTCTTATAATTTTTGCCGGAACATGTTACGGAGCAAAATAATCTGATATACCGTAATATAACAGCACAGTAATAATTACAGAAAAATCACTGAATGAATTTTTACAATAATAATTACTGTAAAATCACTGAGCTACTCTAATCAAATAAATATTACTGTAAAGATAACGGTTTAATATTTTACAGTAAAAATAAATTTTACAGCATAATGGATTGTACGGATTATGAATCCAAAGTGCTGGTACCGTAATTTGACCCGAAATATTTTACAGTGAACAAATAATTATATTGTTTTGCTTCAGTGTACATAAATATAAAAAATATAAGAGCTTATAAAAGTTTTTAAAAAAATATAATATAAAAGATAATATAAAAAACATAAAATTTTTTCATTCATACAAATATTATTTTATTAATGTAAATACTTGACAATTTCATTACAAAACACAAAAACAATTTGACAATTCAAAATCATAATTACCTTAAAATTTTAAATATCATCCCATTCTGAAAATAAATTCTTGTAATATGCTCCGTATCCAAGCGTTATGTTTTCCTCTATCATGGATAGTAACACGAATTAAGTTCAAATAGGAGATTTTTCAAAGTAAGAGGGTAAAAATAAGGAAGTCCATTAAGTTATGAATTTACCTATATGTATTCTACTTCATATCTCAATTTCTGAAGTATGTTAAAAATGATCTTTCAACTAACTCTGGTTTCCTGTCTGGCCACAAAATGTCTATGTTAACTAAGGGGTGGAGTTACAAAATGATTGAGAAATCAAGTTTAGGAACAACAGACATTTGTTTGAAAAGTACCACGCTGAGGTACTTTAAACAAATATTTTAACCCCTTATTCCCCCCTAAAACGAAAATAGACACCAAATAAAAAAAAACAGGTAAAAAATGATTCTTGTCTCCCACTCTCCAAAAAATACAGGTGCGAAGTTTCTAAAAAAAATTTTTTTTTATGTTCTATTTGGGGTGGCCGTCACGCCGTAAATTACCCTCAAAACAACGCGGAAAAAAATCGCTTTCTGTCGTTGTTTTTGGGGACTGATAGCTACCTGCTGTTCGACAAAAGAAGAGCCAGGCGCAGAAAAAGAGAGTCATGCTTAAAAAAGCAGCAAGGGCTTAGAAGCTTTTGTTACACCATTCGCCTTGCATGTTGTAGATACAATAGCATGGGGATGATCGAAATCTTCACATACCCACGTGGTTCAAATCTACCTTTTTCTTAAGATTGGGATGAAAAGGAAGATGCATGCCTGTTAGTTTTTTTTTATTTTTTTCTCCATGGAAGAGCTTATTCTAAGGTCAAATCTCTATGGTCCTTCAAAACTTTTAGGGATTCAGGACTAGTTTGTGAAAAGGTACTTTTGGAGGCGTTTTGTGGTCATGTCATGGTAGTTAATGGCTTTTCAATTCAAGTGTTCACACCCTATTTCGTGCCTTTTTAACATTTGCATGTTTTTAAACTCTACCAATAACAATATATACATACCATAATACAATGTTACAACGTTTAATTCATAATTGGGAATACCAGTTGCTTTTTATTTCGCAGAAATTGTTAATTAAAAAATGGTTTCCTTTTTTTTTTTTTTTTTTTTTTTTCTTGAAAATTCAATTTTGGATCCATTTAATATATTTTTTATAAATATCATTTTAGTAATAATGTTTTAAAATAGAAAAATAAGTATAGTTTAGTAAAATTAAAATTCAAAACAAGCATAATTTAGAGCAAGAAAGTGATAAAAATCATTATGTTACTCGAAACAGATTTAGGGACAGGGTTTTTATAGCCTAGAAAAATAAAAAAGAGGTAATAAATGTTTCATAGGGCCGTTTTAATTTTATCGATTGAAATTTGGTAATAAATAATTCAAAAGTGACAAATTCAAAAGTAACACACCATGATGAATAAATAATTCAAAAGTGTCAAATCAATAATTTTGGAAAATTCTTCTTACTTATATTAAGATTTTACAACCATTTTGTAAAACCTTTCCCAAGGATCATTCAAGTTGACAGTTATAATAGTGTAATAGACTTTTTTTTTCACTGATTGTTGTCACCCTGGTTATAAGTGGATGCTTTTAATTTAGCAAAGAATAGGNAATTTTTAAAAAAAAATCATTGATTTTGCCAGACAGGCCTTAAGTATAGTTTTATAAGTTTATTGTTTCAGCATCAAGATTTCTAAAATATCAATTCAGTACACTGCAAAAAATTTCGGATCAAATTTTCGCATGAAGTACCAGCCAGCGCTTTGGTTGCATCATCCGTAAAATCCTTTTTTTACCGTAAAATGTTAAACAGTAATTTTTAGAATGATATTTACTTAATTAGAATGATTCAGTGGTTTTACGATAATCATTACTATGAAAATTATGGTGTATCAAATTTTTTTGTTTCGTAACATGTTCCAATAAAAGTAGATTTTACAATAGAAAGTACCGGCACCCTGAGTGCTAGTAATTTTTATCGCAATTTGATCTGGAATTTTTTACAGTGTTGACAAAACTATATTTTTTAACACTTCACCAAAGAAAACTCTTAAAAATGTGAAAAGTAGTTAAATAAATAACTATCGATAAAGATTAATTACGACGTTAAATTAGAAACTTGCACAGTAAATCTGAATTGTTATATCACTTGATCAATTTGTCACAAAAGATGAATTAACTCGCTACATTCGCTTAATTGTAAAGACTAATCAATTTCAATTAGGCACCCAGTTCTCTAGGGATTTTCTCCCTTCCCGGAAATCTATCCCATTATTGGATGTTTATAAATGCATGCCTTGATGTGCAATCTTTAGTATGATTGTAAACCTTATAATTTAGAAACAAATGAATTTTATTAGATCCTTTATTTTTTAAACTATTTACTTAAACAATTCTTAGATAATTTATGATTAAGTTCCATTTAATAATAACTATAAATAATAAAACATTTCTTTTCCGAGTAAAATAAAATTCTCAAGAATTTTATGATATTTTATTATGAAAAAATATGAATGAATTATGAAAAATATCTTGAGATATAAAAAAAATGAGTTTAGCTTAATTTATTTGGCATCATTATTTGTGTTATTTATTTTATGTATTTTAAAAGCTATAACGATTATGGTAATGATAGTTTACTAGTCACTAACGCGAAAAAGGCATGTATGGTGAAAATAGGTTTGAAGTGTCAAAGAATAAAAAAGATAAGAATTGACTAGTCGCATTGCTTTTCACATTGAAATTTTTATCAGTCACAAATCACTGACAGTTGCATTTGAAACATTTTCGTAATAAAATACATTCATTTAGCTACTTACATTATTATTATTATTATTTTTCATTTAATTGTTTATTTATTTTTTATTTTTCTGGTATTAATATTTAGGCAACAAGTATCGAAAATTGTTTTCGCAAGATCTGCAAAGTGGTACGATTTAGGGAACCAGTTGTCTAATTAGTAGCACCTGCTCCCGAAAACCTCAGAAATATTGAATATTTATAATTAAGGGAATAAATTGTCCACGTGAAGCTCAAAACAATTTATTGAAATGTAATATTAAATTTTTGTATTGTTTCAAGTATAGTAACGAATTCATATGCCTATAAAATGTTAAAGGAACACAATGTTACTTGCAACTAAGTTCAAGAGTGCATCGTATTACTTACATCGTATTAATAGATATCCATATTACAAACATAATGGCGGACAGTTTGCGAATGTTTCATAATTTTTACAATGAGAAAATCATTTGAAGTTTGCTTTTCATTAAAAAATGAGCGTCGACCTAAAAGAAAATACAAAGATATGTCAAAAAATATAAATAAAATATGTTTAATCGAGGTTTGTTTAGTCAGGAAAAAGCTAAACCGACAGCATACATATTACTAACATAGAAGCGGACAGTTTGCGAATTTCTGATATTTTTCGACAATAAGGATATTATTTGAAGCACATTTTCTATTAAAAAAGGAGCATCAAACTAAAAGAAAATACAAAGATATGTCAAGAAATATAAGTATGAAAGGTTTAAAAGACGTTTGTTTAGTTCGAAAGAAGCATATATATTACCAACAAAGCCTTCAGCATAGAATATGCATGAGCATGAAATACATGAACATGAGAACTTCAGATACATGAACAGATCGGTCTCTGAAATCACATTACAATTCAATAATTACAAGATCGATAATTACTGCTTGACTTGCCAGATAATAATTACAACAATAACTACTTCTTGAATAACCAGAAGCTCGCCACTTAAATGTTTTAACATCAGCTTTTTCTTCCACGGAAAGAAAATAATTTGAAAAATAATTGATTTAAAGTAAATAATTTTCATCATAATGTTATTAAATCTCAATCTCATAAAGATATTAAATCTCATATTTTCTTTTTTTTTCCGGATTAATTCACGTATAAAATGAGATTTTCTGCCATCAAAAAGTCTTCAATTTGAATATTGACGAATCAGAATAGTCAAATCCTAAACATTGTTCTTAGTTGTAGCAATCTTATTTCAAGCCTCACTCACAAGATGAGAAATTTATTAATAGGTGAAAGTGAGTCCAGAAATAGTTTTCAGCCTCTTTATGACAGTTTTGGTGAAGTACAATTTAAATGACTTGAAACTCGACCTGTTCAGTAGTTGAATTTGATACGTTGCTCCTAAATCGTACAGGTACGTTTAGGAATGCTCACGATTCAGGCAACTAAGTACTATTTTAAACAAAGTGTTGTTCCTAGTATCAATTAATGGCTAGCTAATAAAGAAACAAGTCGAACTTAACCTAATAAGTTGTTAACAATTAGATGAAATATTAAATAATCTATATATTACTGTAGTTCCGCTATATCCTTCCACAGAATGTTAAAATTAAGCCCTCTAATGAATCCCGATTTTTGGTGTAACGTGGCTCAAAGTTTTCAGCAGTGTATAATCTACTGTGTGGAAGTTTGCTTTTATTAAGGGTATTCCTGCATCGGATCCTGATTTCGCTAACGACGAGCAAAAGCGCTATATTGCTACTGGCCGGTTTTTGAATTTGCCATAAATTTCTGTGTAAATACAATATATAGATGCTTTCCATAAAATGGCTACGAATTTTACAGTTCGAATTCACCCCATCCTGAGATTTTTTTTTTTTTTAGTTTTTCACATGCGACACTGCTTGTTGTAGCCAAAACTTGACGACCATTTCAGAGCAGGATAAGAGAGTAATTTTTGTCTGATATTCGGCTAACGGGAATGTACCAAAAAAAAAGCTTTTCATTTCTATGAGCATGCTTCTTATCATAAAGCAAAGTTTTTTTTTCTCCCGTTTTAATGCGATCTCTTTATTTTGACATCAAATCGAATTTTACGAGAAACCACTATTTGGATTAGAGAAAAAGATCTCATTATTTCGTAATTACCAGGCGGAAAAAAATTTCTCCACTTTTCACCAGCAATGTTTTGTACACTAAAATCGTTTTTTTTTCTTTTCCTTTCGAAAAAAGAAAAGCAGATGTATAACAGTAATAAGAATAACAATTTTATACACTCATTCCCACTGCATTTTTTTTTTACCCACAGCGTTGGCAAAAAAATGGTGGACAGTTCGATTTCTGTTTTTTTTTTTTTTTTTATTTCGTCTCCCGGGGGCTTTCTTTTTTATTTTCTTCATCCACACTAATAATTTTGAGAAAAAAAATCTGTCCCTAATGGACAAAAGGGCAAACGGAAAGGGGGTGGGAAATGTGATAAAAGAAGCGAAATGTAGAAACATTGGCGCGAAGTGTAAGGTGGGGGATTAAATTAAAGGATACAGTCCTTTGATCATTAAGGATGTATTAACGAAAAAATATCTACGATATGGATATAAAAAATCACGCTTTAATACGATAATGATTATACCTTTCATATTGTCACGTGACTGTGAGTTATCTATCTTTTTTATACAACCGCATTTCTTTTTCTCAAAACCTTGTACTTACATGATCTTATAGAGTCCATGCTAAAGCTATTTGATCTTCACTTTGTGGGAAAATATAATAGATTTTCTTTTTCCCTCAACAAATTAATATTGTATCGTGATAACTTTCAGAACTTTCATTTACGTAACAACTACTGTGAACAAGTGGATTATTAATTTAGTGGAACTAAAATTGGTCCCTCTATTGTAATTTCTATAACTGATTCGACTTCCCATTGATATTATGTCAATGGGGCGTGCGTATTTCTAGAACAATCCCTCTTTTTTGTTCCGGCCAGACCACCTTAGTAGCATCATTTGGAGAGGGAAAATGTATGTTTTTATGCCTAAATTTTTTAAATCAGTCATTATACGTCTTTTCTTCCTATCAAAAATGGAACAATATCTATCGTAAGAGCGAAAAACAATTATTTTTGTCACCTACTAATTGATTTTCCTTTTTAATCAAATGGAATCCGATTTATTTAAATAGCAGTCTAGGGGAAACAACCTAATTAAAAACCGGTAGAAAGTATTTGATTTAAGATGATCGATTTTTCCCCTAAGTTGATTAACCCCTTAACGCACATATTTTTTTAAAAAGAATGGCCCCCCCCAAAAAAAAATCCATTTTCTTTTAATATAAAAAAACACACTTTAGAACATTGTTTTTTCTTTTGGTGGACAATTTTGATATACTGCACTTTCGTTCCATGTATAAAGGCTATATTCAGAGATGCCAACTGCTCCGGACATGCCAAAATAATTTTAAGAAAAAGGTAAAAAATTTTGGAAATATTTGACTATTTTTGCTTGCTTTTTGAAAGGTATAGCATGACATAAGTACTATAAAGTGGTGAGTTATATAAGCCTACGAATTATTTAGAAATAGTGGTGGATAAAAATCTACTAAATTAAATTTATTAAACCAAGAATCACAATTGATAAATTATTTACATTAATTGCTATAACACTTATTTATTCTTGAATAAATAAGTGTTATAGCTTACAATCCTATGTAAATGATAAATATCAATAAAACGATTTTTTTTCTTAGCTTTCACATTATTATTCTCAATTTTCGATTATATTCGAGAGTGAAAAATTATATCAGCATAAAATACAACGCCGCTCGAATTATCTCGAGTGTGCACTGTTTGGCCTGTTTAGCGCGCTCCAATTAACTCGAGTGCGCTAAAGTGGTTAACTACCAAATGAAATTCAATACCTACCTACAGTATCATATACATGATATGATAGTTATCAATGCAGTATCTCTTTCTGAAATAGATTAATAGCAACATACTTCTGCTACCACTTTTTATTTATTCGAAATAAATAAGTAGCGAGTTTCACTCTTCGAATAATGCTATTGGATTAGGAATCATTACAGAATTCAATATTTTGAATTTTTATTTACTTCTGTCTGAATAATAATGAAAACAGCGTTCGATCGGATTTAAAAATTTTAAAAAGTGTTAACAATAAATGGACAAATGTCCATCATTTTACAAACATTTGTGACCGTCACTACACATTAATTTTCAAATAAAATACATCAGTATCAAAATTCTGTCCTATTAGATTTCTAAATGAGAAATAGGTATTTTTGCTTTAACATAAATTAACTATCCCATAAATTCAGTATCCATTTAGCTTTAACATAAATTAACTATCACTATAAAATTTTTAAGGCCTGTGAAAAATTATTAATCCTTATCTTTTCCATTAAAGATTAGGACTAATACAAATTTAATAATATTCTCTTTTAAATAAATAACTAAAATAATAAAATGTAAGAAATTGTTTTTGTTATATGTAAATAATAATATTATCAGATAAATCTAAATTTTATCACTTATATTTATGTTTAATTAATTTTTTTACATGCCTGTACAGTAGCTTTATTTATATTTATTTAACTTTACTTTTATAAAGTTTTGGAGAAGTTACAGAGACGGAAATATAAAATTATGTAAGCAAAACTACATTCCACGTAAATTTCCATTAATCCGAATTTCTTGACATAATGATATGAAAAATACTTATAAAAAGTTTATATAAAAGCCCTAAAAACATCTGAGATTTAGGCATGATAATTTTTCCACAGATGGCGAGCACAAGCAGACATTTTTAGAACAAAAAAAATTTCTATAACACTTTTACTAGAAATAACGAACCTAAACAATAAACTGTTTGATGATTTTTATATTTATCGCAGAACGTATTTCTTTTTATTCTTATTAAATAAATTATTACTGCATTACATTTGTTATAACAAGGAAAACCATTTTCTTTAAATACCGAAATTCCTTAGTAAGTTAAAGGGCATAATAAAAAGCATTTTCCTGATGATCTACTTACTTTTTTTCAATGCTCTTATTATTATCAGTATGAAACAGATTAAATACTCATCATAAATTTAAGTTAAATTTTATTTATATTTGCGGCTCCCAATACTTGATCCAGGAGTTCAATTGTCTTCTGGAATGGTTTCAAAATTACAAGGCTACGGAGCTGAACATTGGTTGTCGTAAACCCAAAAATTGGGTTATAAAATATAAAAGTAGTATATTGGCCGGGATAGCCTGGTTGGTGGGGAATTGGGCCCATGTCCAAGTGATCGTGAGTTCGATCCCCACCAACCGAAGACTCCCCGTGTAGTAAATGGTCACTGATGCACGTTAAATCTGTCGAGTTGCAAAGTCCTCCATGTTCCTATTACAAATCAATATCTCTGGGGGTACTGATTCAGGAGTTTCCTTGTCTTCTGGATTGGTTCAAAATTACAAGGCTACAGAGTTGAACTTTAGTAGTCGTAAACCCAAAATTGGGTCGGCTGTTCAACGACGGATATAAAATATAAAATAAAGGTAATATATTATTCGTAAACTATGAAATATTTTAAATTAAAATTTTCTATCCAATTTTGTCTATAAAATACTCAAAGCTTTATATATCTGTAACTGATATGTATATTTCAAAAAGAACGATTTTCTTCCTTTGAAAGTAAAATTGATTTGAATGAATATACATAGTTTTTCCCCGTTTTTTCTTCCTATAGTGTGAATAAAATAGAATGAACGAGTTAAAAGCATGGAAAATAAAGAGTATGCGTTTTATCACTGTTACTATGATTGTTTATTTATTTATAATTATAAGTTTATTACAAAACATTTTCTTATTTTTTGCAGATTTTGAAGTTTCATTGAGATATGTGAGTACTTTTTTTGAGCTATTTATTACCATTTGGATATAGCTTCAATATGTTAACTGTTATAAGATTCTGAATATGTTATACCTTCAACGAGTCATATGATTTTAAAATTATTGCAGGTTCGAATAATTTTTATAAGACAAAAATCTTACAATTTTTAACATACCGAATGTTTTTTACATTACAAAACTGTTGTAATTTCTACAAGCTTATATATATATATA